TCGAATAATCCCGGCTAACCAAAAGGATCCTAAAATACTCTTTTTTGAGCTATAAACCTTCCTATATCGGAACTTTTCCCTCATAAATGAGCTCTTTTATGGAGCCCTAAATGAGCGATTTTTCGTTCTACGCGGGCACGCTGAATGGAGTCTAAAAAATGACTCCGAAAAGACTCCAAAAACGATGAATTCGGTGCATTTTATGACTCTTTTTCAGTGAATTTCGGAGCTCTTTTGGAGCCATATTGGAACGCTTCTAGGAGTCTTTTTAGAGTCATAGTTGAGCATTTTTGTGTTCTTTTTTGACGATTTATCGGAGTCTTTTTGGAGTCATTATCTAACATTTCGTAATACTTGTTTGATGTTTTTTAAACCCCTTTTAATAGAATTAAAACAACTTCTTTTACATTCCAATTTTAATTTTTTAATACTATTTGATATTAAAATATAAGGAATTTTATTAAGTAAAATTATAAATACATATACATTCATACTTTACCGTACATGCATACATACGGTGCACCGCATTCAGACAAGCATATCCCCAAATACCACCGCATAGCCGAAGTCGACATGAAAATGCGGTGGCACACGCATAGTTGCCAACCAGTGTTGCCGCGCCGCCTCAAGAAAGTGTATCCCTGACCAAGCCAAAAATGTATCCAAATGTATCCAATTTTCTTTTTTTTTACATATACATCTCATAATTTGTAAGAAAACCAAACATTTTCATGAAAAAGACATAATTGAACCCATCCTAAGGACTTGGAATACATGTGCATAAAATCAAACATTTGTAATTTCAATTTATAAAGTATATTTTTTGTGCATAAGTATTTTGCAAAGTAAATATAATAAATAGCAAGTACACTCTAAAAAGAGCATGTAAAACTACTACTGAAAAGTATCTATTTTTCAACAAGAATCTGTATAAATATACGTATAAGATGTTCAGTATTTGATTTTGAACTTGGGATCTTTAAAATATACACATAAATACACATATATAGAATGTTTAAAATTGCAAAAATTTTCAAACTACAAATACATTTGAGTAGTCTACTTGCAAAGTGCGCTATGTAAAATTTTTTCGATTCTTAGTTTTTGGCGGATTACGTACCAGTATTTAAAGTAGTTTCATGTCCACTAACAACAGAGTGCAAAATCTTTTTATATTCTGAAAAAATAGCATCAAATGTTAAGTCTTCTTCCAAAAGTCGCTATCATACTTATTTATGAACTTTCAAAAGTATCAATCTTCTGATGAACTTAGAAAGCTGCTTTAGGTCGTATAGACTGTTAATGTTATCTTATGACATGTTATGTTATGTTACAATTTTATAAGGCTCCTATTTATCCAAATTTTCAGGTAATAATAAAAAAGATTCAATTTAAATGTTACTTGTTGTCGTAGTCGCTTTTTCAAATTTATGGCTTTCTATTATAAAATCACATAACGCTGTTTGTAAGTGGACTACTCATTTCCTACTAATAATAAACATTACTTTATTTTAAACATGTTATGTGTAATTTTGCTCTTGCGACAAATTTGGTATGTAAGAGTAAACAGGCAATGATTAATTTTATTACACGGCGTGCGAATTTGCACACATTAAAAGAGGAAACTGGTTACCTCTCCTAATATGCGCAAATAAACAAAAATTGTTTAGAGTGTATTTAAAGTCTTTTCAGTAAAATTCATAAAAGTCTCCTTAAATAAATCAAAGTTAGTTTTTTAAACTACATTGAAATCTTTCTTTTTAAATTAACAAATGAAAATATGTGATATAAAAGAGATTACTACAGAAAGAGTATAATTTACTTTATATACATATGCATATCGTCGTTTAAAGTACAAAACCGCGTATCGTCATTCTGCAAAACCGCGTAACTGACATTTGCTGCCAAAAATTGGATTTGCTCACACAAGCTCTTGGCTCAATCCTCATCCATTCGTCCTGAAATATAATAGCCAGAAATGCGATTGCTTTATAAAAAAGAAATATAATTATTTTTACTCTCTAGAAAATAATTTATGCAACGCCACGAACGCTGTTTAGCTTTTTGTTGATACGCGGTTTTGTACTTTAAACGACGATATGTATATTAAGATCTTTCTTAAAGCATCCTTTAAGCTAATTAAAGCAATTGCGCTTATACTTATTTTGGTAAGATCTCTTCATATGTTCATTGCTTCGTTCACAAAAAATAAAATGCTTTAATTTCACGCTTAAGTAGCGATTCTTTATGTGTTCAGAAAACGTAATGCTTTCTACCATCTTTAATGAAAATCGATTTTTGAACGAAAACAACTTTATAGGAAATATAAAATTTTGGCCTATTTAAAAAAGTATCCACATTTATACTGACCGAAAAAAATAAGTATCCCGCAAAAATTCGTCTAAAAATGTATCCAATTGGATCTATTTAGATCCAAACGGCATCCCTGTTGCCAACTTAGTGCTGTAAGCACTAGATTTAGTGCTTTTTGAAAACTAAAACGCAAAAAACAAATGATTTGGTGCCTAGTGCGCTTTTTAGTGCTTTTTTCTGAACTAAAATTTCTGAATTTATAAGAATCTACAAATTTAAATGCACTTAAATGCAGACCATGATTGATAAAAAGATGAAGTTGCAAACCGCCTTTCTTGCGTTCTTGTTAAATTGTATTCGCGTTGAAAATGCTAGCACGCAGATAAGTTAAGTATTTATTTTTTTATTTTCTTGATTATGGATTGATTACACAGTTCGAAAAATTTTACCTTTTTTTGCCACCTGAGTGCATCGGTTTTTGTAGATTTTTCGGTGCTGAATTCAAATCTGGCTGCAGAATTTCTCTACCACGTCAGAATTTTGAGATATCCTAACCTCTAAGTGTAAAAACACGGTTTTTCGCAATATTTGAGGTTATATTATAAAACAACAAATTTTTCGCTCATTTCTACTTAGGGTATCATTAAGTATAACTCTTCCCTTTTAAAATTCAATTTCGTTTGTTGCGATTCGATTGTTTTTTCTCCAGATGTACCAGTTTTAATGTGCAGTACTTCGTAAGCATTGGTTATTTATTTATACATGTAAATAGTATTTGTTTTGTTACTTGTGTTTACCACAAACTCTTATGAAAAAAGAGTACCCTTTGATTAAAAAAAAAATTGTGTGCTTTTAGTGCGGTAAAACGCTCTTTTTTCCACGGTTTGGTGCTTTTTGAAACTCAAAAGTTGGCAACACTGGCCACACGATGCAGTAACGCCGCTTTGGTCATACATGCCACCGCATACACGAACACGACAAAAAATACGATGGGTACAAATATCGCATTGCTTGCGGTGCTGGACATACTTACACCGCATTGTTTGCGAGTATATTTGAAGTCTCGAAAGAGGCACTGCATCTATTTTATCACTGTTATCTATTTTAAAGTATAGTAATTAATTAATTTTTCTGTAATTACTAATTTTTCTGTAGTTAAGTTTAGCTAATGATTTAACTATAATTTGAAATAGATACATTAGCAGCCCCTAATATGCTATTTTTATTATAGAAATTTATGTGCGCTATGTGTTTTCTGTTGTTTGCTGCAGATACTTAAGAAGTAAGCGTCTTGGCTGCTCACCAAACTGGTCTATAGTTTTATCAATAATCTCAGATTGGTTCTCTGATACAAACTTTCAATGTACGCTTAGAAGACACAATCCTAAAGACAAGGTAATAAACAATTGAACTATACATTTATTTATTACTTTATAGTTCACACCATTTTCGCTCACTGTCGACTGCGTCCATGGGAGCTCGAGCCCGCCTAGGCTCGCCATTTTGTTTTTTGAGACATTAGGCACACTAAGTTCGTAAATCGCTATTTTCGGTTTTTATGTAGTGTAGTGGTAAGCAGTGTGCGCTTCCACTCCGCAACGCCTGGGTTCAAGCCCTGGTCAAAGCAACATCGCAAAAAAATATTGAAAAAAGGTTTTTTCTTAACAGCGGTCGTCTCTCGGCAGGCAATGGCAAACCTCTGAGTGTATTTTTGCCATGGAAAACAGCTTCTCATAAAAATACAATCGCCGTTCGGAGTCGGCGTAAAACTATAGGTCCCTCCACTTTGTGTGACAACATCAAATATTTTGGTTTCTTCTAGTACTAGTATGGGACCACCTCTGAGGTACCATAAAGTACATAAAAATGAAGAATATTCCGACGAATTGATAACCTTTTTCTTTTTTGAAGCCGGTTTAGAAATAGTTAATATACTCTCGAAATACTTTAATATGTTATTTTATTAAAAAAAAGAAAAAAAATATTTTGACCGGATCTGTAATTTTTTTTGCAAATCTATGTACGCTTCAACTAAACATGCAAAATGCGAAACGAATCAGAGCATAAATACGGGTTTTCAAAATATCTCGCCACCTTACGAATAAATTTTTGGCAAACATGTTTCTGCCTACTTAGCCAGTATATGTTAGGTGAATTTTTTTGTAAGCGAGCGACAAAAGAATGCTCAACTCGTGGAAAGTTTTCTTTCAGCTACTTAAGCAACCATGTTGGAATCTGGAAAGAAACATTTGATTAGTTTAACGGAATTTAGATACAAAAACCAATGGACATGAGTAATTATCCGAGGTATTTGCGTAGTACCCATATGTATATGGGGCATTTCACCTCAAGTGACCCAACTTTTGAAATCTATGTCTTCCGATCGGGATGAAATTTGCACCAAGGTTAGTCCTAAAAAATAGTAGTTATGACACAAAATTTCAATGGGATCGGTCAAACACACTCCGAGTTGGAGGGTCTAGAATTTTGACATTTTGGTCAAACGGCCATTTTTTCGGATCCATATAACTAATTACCTATTGTATTTAGAAAATTTTTTCAGGAATGTTTTCGATAGATTTCTCTTCAGTCTTTACAAATTTTATTTGTTTTTAATTAAAATGAATTTTTTTAAATTTTTTTTTGTTAAATAAAAAATAATTTTTATGTTTTTTTTCAAAGGGGTATTTTTTTTTTTTTTTGCTCAAAAGAAAGCTTAGGTATTTTTCTTTAAGAGCTTTGTGGTCGCTTAGTGGGATGCAACTTGTGTATCAATCAAAATTAGCGTTTAGTAACTCGAAACAGCGGTTTTTTTAATTTTTAATATATGACCTATTGTCTTCTTTTTTTCGTATTATTGTGTAAGTGTCTCGGAAACCTGAAAATAAAACTTATATGAGAAGGTATATACAATTACCTTTCCAACGGTATATAACACGCCTAACCAAAGTTTCATACCCTCGATACTGCCATTCCCGTAGTTAAGGATGATTAAGATTTTTCGTAGTCTAACACAGCAGGTACTCGATTTTGTGCATCCAAACTCTTTATTAATAGCTTTGCAGAATTTTGAGTATTAGATTTGCATACCTACTAGCACAATATTTAAAAGGTATGAAGAATATGGGATTTTCCGGTAGCTAAGGATGATTCAGATTTTTCTTTGTACCTAACCACAGCAGATTCGTCCAAACCTTTTCGCAATAGATATTCATACCTACTCGCGCAACCTATAAGTAGCTATAATAAATCAGCTATAGTTTAGTTGAGTTATGAATTACGAATAAGATCACGCATATGTACAACCCTTAATGTTGAGTTATGAATTACGAATAAGATCACGCATATTTACAACCCTTTAGGAGTATCGATTAGTCCGTTTTGGACAAATCACTTTTTTTTTTGTAACACACACATCTCTAAGAAAAATAAAGAAAATTGGATTCTCTGATAAACAGCTTTGAAGGAAAAACACGTGTTTCAGTTTATTCGGTCCTTTAAGTTGCTGTATCCAGATTCTTTTCACCTTGCAGTAAAGAAGCGATCCGGCATTTCATCATCAACGTATTCACCTGGTTGCCAACCAGGACAGTGGTCCTTCGAGCCGGATCGTCTTTATTTGCGAAACATAAGAAATTTCAATACCGACTCCATTTCGAGGGTGCCGTCATTAACCTCAAATGACGTGCCACGCTGCATTACATCGATCACACTGCGTTTATGGATAGTGTTGAATACACACAGTGCCAAAGGAATACGAACATTTCATCACAAATCTTATCGTCCCACTCAAATCGTTCAAGAGGAGCAATTAATGAAACTATCAACTTGTTAAACAAGCTTTCATCGCATAAAGCCCAGGCAGCAACATAAATCAGTTGAGAGGATTCACGTATTATAGAGGTAAGTGGTTTTAAACATATTCTATTGGCAAGAATTTTCATTAGTATGTCTGACGACGATTCAGTGGCTGATAAATCAGTCAAAATTAGTGAACAAGAGCAATTAGTGGCTGAGCAACTTGACTTACTGGAACGATTGCGTCGAGAGCGCCCAAACTTCGATCGAGATGGTCCGAGTCGACATTCTAGGGGGCAATTTATGACTCGTCTTAATCGAATCGCTCAATCCCTGCAGACATTTAATACAAACCATCGCACTTTGGTTCGCTTAAGGTTATCTCGCGAGGATGACTATTTCAAAAGTGATATTTTTGGGGCTTTTCAATCTGAGCATGCAGATACCATCGATCATATCGAAACTGTATTTGATCGACTGTTCCCCGACCGCGATGCAACAACAACAACTCACTCGACTTGTATTTCACCTTCTTCAACAGCCGAAACCACGAACACAATCATACGAGAGTTTCACACAGATTCCTCATTTAGGCCTCCTGAATTAAAAATCGAAAAATTTAATGGTGAGCCTACAGAATGGCCAGCATTTTATGCATTATTCCAGACAATTCACACGAATTCGAAACTTTCAAAACATCAGAAATTCGTGTATCTCAAGTCATTTTTATCTCCAAACGTAACCTCATCCATTGCCCATTTAGATGTTACAGATAACACCTATGACGAAGCCTTGGAAGACCTTAAAGATCGCTATAGCAATGAGCAAGTTTTATTCACTGCGTTCATGAAGAAATTTATGAATTTGCCAATGCATTCCCAACGGGAATCTGCTGACGAATTAAAGTCATTGCACGACTCTGTGCGCGCATGTGTGGTTCAGCTGAAAAATCGGAAGTTCTATACCGAAGAAAACTCAGAGTTTTTCGCATTTCATTTACTTGAAAAACTTTCACCAGTTACGCGTCTCGATTTTGAAAGGCATCGTAAAGAACCGAAGAAAGTTGCAAAACTTCAACCCTTGCTGGATTTTATTAAATCGACTTTTCTCATTGCTGATGCTGCCGCACACACAACCCACAATAGGAGCGTTCCTTATCTCCCAGAAATAGTCAGAAAAAGTCCGAAGTAGTCAGATTTAGTCCAAAAAGCGTTCCTTAACTCGGAAATGACAGCAAAAATGAGAGAGCAACAGTCAGTGAGAGTGACTCTCATCAGTCCGAAGTAGTCAGATTTAGTCAGAAGAATTTTTTCTGGCAAAATCCTGAAAAGTGTCAAACTCAACTGAATTTAAACTAACGGAAATTAACGCTAAAAGTGAGAATAATCTAAAAAGTAAAAGAAATGAATTGAAATTGGAAGGAGGCAAAAAATAATTGATATAGCAAGTGTTTATTGTGCTTGTGCTTGTGTGAATGTGTTTTGTACATACATTTCTGTTTTTATTTGACGTTAATTTTGTTGTTGCCATTCTTTGGACTAAAAATTTGGTTTTTTGCGTTCCTTTACTTTTCCTGTTATTCTCTTTTAGTGAGCGCATTTTGCTTATGCTCTGGCATTTTGACACTTTTCAGATTTTAGTCCAAAAAGATAAGGAATGAACCTAATATTGATTCAAAGTTGTCACATTCAAAGTCAAACAAATCATTTGTTAAGTTACAAGATCGAAAGGATATTCGGAATATGCATGTCTCCAAAAAATCAATAGTTTGTCCAATTGAAACCTGTAGGGGCCCTCACGTTCTCCGTAAATGTCAACAATTTTTACAATGGTCACCGATTGAGCGTAGAGACTTTATAACTCATCAGAAATTGTGTTTTAACTGTCTCGGTCATTCGAAGTCTATGCAGTACTCCAGTAAGCACACTTGTTTCACCTGCGGTGGCAAACATCACACTTTGCTGCATTTTAATAAATCAACTCTCTCATCAGCTGCACCTTTTTGTCCAAGTACAAACATAGGATCAACGTCTTCGAATGAGGGTCATGCACCCACGGTCAGCCCCCAAATCGTAGCAAACAATTTAGTCCATACAAATTCAACGGTTCTTCTTTCGACAGCAATTGTCAAGGTGGTCGACGCTTTCGGTCAACACATACGTCTTCGCGCACTAATCGACAACGGTTCACAACAATCAGTTATAACAGAGCGTGCAGCTCAGCGATTGAAGTTGGAGTTTATTCCATTTTGCATCGGTTACCGTCCAATGGGTGAAAGTCAATACAAAATCGCCGATAAAGGATTAAAGCTCAACATCCACTCTTTCGTCAATCCGGGATTCAATTTCATTTCGAATTTTGCTGTGCTTCCATCAATTACATCTGAGCTGCCCTTGTATACACTGAAGGTCAAATCTTGGCATCATCTTACAAAATTGCGAATGGCGGACCCACATTTTGCGACTCCGGGCCAAATCGACCTGCTATTGGCTGGCGATGTCTATGGTCGAATCATTGAGGAGGGGTTGCGCAGGGGTGAATTTGGGGAGCCTGTCGCTCAGTGCACGAAATTAGGGTGGATATTGTTCGGAGAATTGCTCCAACAAAATCACGTTCATACATTTCCATTAACTGGTTGCTACCATATTTCAACCCTTCAAATCAGCGAATATCTCACAAAATTTCACGATATTGAAGAGGTGCCGCCGATCAAGAGATTGTCTAAAGAAGATGAATGGACTGAAAGGTTTTACGAACAAACTACCACCCGCCAACCAGATGGAAAATTTATGGTACGACTACCATTTAAATCATATTTTGATTCCTCGATCCAATTGGGCTCGTCCTACGATATGGCCCTCAAACGTTTTCAATCGCTGCAACGGCGGTTCATTAGTGACGCAACTTTCAAGAAAGCATATTTTGCAGTCTTTAATGAGTATCAACAGCTGAATCATGTCAAGCTCATTCAACAGCCTAATAAAAAACATTTTTACTTACCTCATCACGCAGTGCTTAAAGAAAGCAGTATAACAACGAAACTTCGTCAGGTGTTTGACGGTTCCGCAAAAACTACAAACGGAAAATCATTAAATGATATTTTGACCACCGGTCCCGCTTTACAAGCTGATTTGGTCTCAATTATTATAAATTGGCGCACGCATAAATATGTTCTTATTGCCGATATCGAAAAAATGTATCGCTGTATACAGATGCATCCAGACGACACTCACTATCAGTACCTCTTGTGGCAAGATGATGAAAACTCGGGCATTAAAACATATGCACTCCAAACCGTCACCTTTGGTATTGCTTCATCCCCATATCAGGCAATTAAAACCATTCAACTGCTAGCCGAACAAGTTAAGGTCTCTTCACCAGCAGTTTACACCGCACTTAGGTCTGAAACTTATGTAGATGATATCACCACAGGAAGCGAAACAATCGAAGAAGCTCTCAAATTAATGAAGGGTCTTATTGAATTGCTTAGAAGTGCCGGGTTTGAGCTCCGCAAATGGGCTAGCAATTCCCCAGAACTTCTTCAACAAATACCCAGCGAATATCGTTATCAAAATACAGTATGTTTATTTAATTCCAGCGAGGATGTAAGGACTCTCGGGTTGGGATGGTCAAGTTTCAACGACTTTTTCACATTCTCCATTAACTTTTCTACTGATAAACGTCTCACTAAGCGTAACGTTGCGTCAACTGTCGCTCGACTTTTTGATCCACTCGGTTGGCTAAATCCATTCATCACCAAGGAAAAGATCTTTCTGAACAAATTATGGGAACAGAAGTTTGACTGGGATGATCTCATACCATCTATCGAACTCCAATTGGAATGGGAGCAAACCATTGATCAACTTCAGCTTATCAAGGCAATCAAAATACCCCGGTGGATCAACACATCGCGTGCCAACAAAAGTAATCAACTTCACGTTTTTTGTGATAGCTCCAACAAGGCTTACGCTGCAGCAATTTATCTGCGCACCATCGAGTCAAACAATCATATTCACGTCAATTTATGTATAGCAAAAAGCAAACTGACACCAACGCGGAAACCGTTGACAACACCTCGTGCCGAGCTATGTGGTGCTGTGTTAGCAGTCAAATTACTTGATTCGGTTAAGCAGTCGTTGAGAATCACCCTGAAAGACATTTTTATGTGGACTGACTCAAGTGTAGTTTTATCATGGATTCAAGGGAATCCAAACAGGTGGGCGGTTTTCGTTTGTAACCGGGTTCACAAAATTCTATCGTCAACTGAAGTTGAACAATGGCATCATGTCTTTTCTCGAGAAAACCCAGCTGACCTCAATAGTCGCGGTTTAACTATTGCCGAATTGCGCAATTCATCACTTTGGTAGCATGGACCACAATTTCTTTCCCTGCCTCAAGCTGAGTGGTCAGCTTCACAATTCGAACTCCACGATGATGATCAAGCTGAACTTCGTGCACGGTTCAAAGCAATAAATATCACCACGAAGGAATTGTGCCGCGCAGATAACCTCATTCAACGGTTTTCAAACTTGAATCGCCTACGTCGTGCTGTCGCATATGCCATTCGTTTTGTGCAACTTGTTCGGTATTCCATCAAGCTCAAATTGCAACGTCCATCAACTGCGACGCGCTCGGTCCCGATAAACCAACTAGTTCAACAAGTCACTCCTCTCACTGTCATCGAAATTCAACATAGCGAAGATTCACTCATTCGCTGGGTTCAAGCAAACGAATTCTCATCTGAGCTCAAAACCATTCGAAGTAAGAAACCAATTCCAAAAACCAGTAAATTGTATAGACTTCATCCGTTCCTCGACGACAGGAATATTCTTCGTGTAAATGGTCGTTTGGCAAATGCATTCATGTCTTTTGAAGAAAAATTTCCAATAATATTGCCATCGAAAAGTCATATTGCAACTTTAATCACAGATTTTTATCATCGCCTAACATTACACGGGGGACCACAAGTCACCATCAACCAAATTCGACACAGCTATTGGATTCTTGATGGGCGTAGATTTGTCCGTAATTTTATTCATAAATGTGTCATTTGCTTCAAAGCTCGTCCGGTTTTATTGCAACAGCAAATGGGCGCTTTGCCCAGCATGCGTGTTAATCACAACTTACGACCATTTGCCTCGACTATTAGTGGACTATGCAGGTCCTTATGACATTCGAGCATCAAAGGGTCGCGGAAAGACTTCATATAAGGGATACGTCGCTGTTTTTACATGTATGTCAACTAGAGCTGTGCACTTGGAGGCCGCAGGTGATCTAACGACGCAAACTTTTCTTCACGCATTCGATCGTTTTATTTCCCGCCGTGGATTTTGTCACGATGTTTTCAGTGACTGTGGAACAAATTTTGTTGGTGCCAACAACGAAAATAAACGGCGTCACTCTGAATTTCTTCAATCTATCAAAGCCGACATTATACCAGCATTAGCAAACCGACACATTCAATGGCATTTTAGCCCACCAGCAGCGCCTCATTTCAATGGCTTGGCTGAAGCTGCCGTCAAATCTATGAAATTTCATTTATCCAGGGTTTTGAAAAATTCAAAACTTACGTTCGAAGAATTTTCAACTGTTTTAGCTCGAATTGAGGCTGTTCTCAATTCGCGGCCGATCTCACCACTCACCGAAAATGCCAACGACTTTAACGCATTGACGCCCGGACATTTTCTTACGGGAAATGTTTTTCTATCACGACCTCAACCGAAATCTGAACTAAACCCAATTAAACGTCATCAATTAATGGAACAAATGGTCCAACATTTTTGGCTGAGATTTAAAGAAGATGTTTTATCAGCAATGCAAATCCGACCAAAATGGCAAGACAAACAACCTAACATAAAGGAAAATGATCTGGTAATCATCAAAGATGATCGGTTTCCAGTCGGTCACTGGCCCATGGGACGTGTCGTTACATTACATCGAGGGAATGACGATCTTATTCGGGTTGTCACAGTAAAAACAGTCACTGGCACGTTTAAACGCCCAATTGTCAAACTCGCCTTAGTACCAAACATTGCTGACTAAAAAGACATCGAATAATATGCCAATCGAATTTGTTTTTAGTCACTTCTTCAGGAACAACCGTATCATAATTCTCCACTAGCAAAGTTATTTTTCATTAACCTATTTAGTTGCCTAGTAAACTCATTCATTGAATTTGGCCACTTAATTTTAGGTAATCTACCCATTATAAATGTTATATCAATATCAAATATATACCACTCTATTCCATCGATTGTACTATCACAACAATGTTGTCATGGCCGGGAGAATGTTGAGTTATGAATTACGAATAAGATCACGCATATGTACAACCCTTAATGTTGAGTTATGAATTACGAATAAGATCACGCATATGTACAACCCTTTAGGAGTATCGATTAGTCCGTTTTGGACACATCACTTTTTTTTTTGTAACACACACATCTCTAAGAAAAATAAAGAAAATTGGATTCTCTGATAAACAGCTTTGAAGGAAAAACACGTGTTTCAGTTTATTCGGTCCTTTAAGTTGCTGTATCCAGATTCTTTTCACCTTGCAGTAAAGAAGCGATCCGGCATTTCATCATCAACGTATTCACCTGGTTGCCAACCAGGACAGCAGTGTATGGTCATTTTGAAGACCACTTTTTTAGAAACAGCGTTAAAATAAAGACTGTGTTATTTACATAATTAATATTTTCAGTAGCTATGGCTCATAAAAAGGCTAAACTTGATAAAGAAATTTTTGCTTCTTTTTGCTTTAATCCCTTCAACAAAAAAAACCACGTTTCTTCAGATACACGACGGCTTTCTGACGGCTTAATATCAAAATTCCCTACGCTATCAAAACGGATGCGAATTTGTGGATCGTGCAGGAAAGAGCTCAGCAAATTGAAGGAATTACCGACTTCGAAAAGTAATGAGCCTTGTGAAGACGTTATTCCAGATAGAGACCATATTGAATCTGAGAAGGATGACCGAATTTCCGATGACGATGGCTCCAACTTTACTGAAGAAAATATGAC